CGGCTACTTTTAAGTTGATAGGTGTAATAAGATTTCTTACACTTATCAAACTCATTGGTAATTTTACGAAAAGTATCCTCGATTTGAGCCTGTATTTTCACTTCGTGTATATTACCCTTTTTAATAGGAACCACACGAAAATTATTTTTCCCTACTAGTTACTAGATACTCTCTCTATCAGAGCATTAGAACTTGGTTCTCGTAGATAAATAGGTGGAGGTTTGTATTTTTTAACTACCTGTTGGTTAGAATCATTATTCATATCAGCGAGAATACTAAAACCATTATTCGCCGCCGATGTAGAAGTACCTGAAGTGACTACTTTCAAAATTTTATTTTTTGGGGTTTGTTTTCCATTTTTTTCGGGCGTGCGCTATCGCTTTATGAATATGTAACGATCTAACCCAGTCTGAACAGTAGCATTTTTTGCTTGTTTTTCTTCTTCTTTGTTTGTTGCCGTCGAAGTATTAGTATCCGCATTGATCACTGCTGGAGAGCAAGATGATATTCTTTGCTTGGCTGCATCTGCTGTTTGTGATGGTGTGTTAGAAGTATACGAGTTTTCTTTAGCGTTGTTGTTGCTTGTTTTGCTTTTTGGGCTGTATGCAGTAATTGTCAAATATGCATTTCTTTTGCTTGCGCTTTGCATTCACGATTGAGAGAAATAGAGATTGCGCCAATCGCGGTACCGCTAATCCGCTCTTTGTGATTTTGACAGAATCAGCTGTGTGCGTGACGTCATCTTGGTGTAATTGTTGATTGTGAGCATGCGAAAAAACTAAATAACAATTTTAATATTTGTGTGTTAATATTTCTGCGTGGTTTTAAACAATTATTGAGACATTACAAAGCAAAACGAAGTATGCAGTGGCAAAGTGTAATAGTGAAAACAAAAGGAATGCGTGCGATATAAGTTTTTTTTTTCGTTTCCTACGGACCCAAACCTGGCGAAAAAGTGGAAGCACTTCTGCCGGCGAGGAGATGCATTAAACACCAAATCGAGCTTCGTGTTATGTGTATGAGCTATGTGCTTCTACATGGAACCATGTTGGCCTTTCCTTGGTGAATTGTAGTAGGTACATTTCCATGGTGAATGTAGACAGTTGCTGGTTTAGTTTGCTGGCAATGGCATACATACAAACGCAGTTTCTACAGGAAATAGGTACATGAACTTCACTACCTCAATACTTACTTTTGTTAGTACCTGATTCTTTTTAGTGCTGGTATGAGGTAATGCACCAGTGGATAAGGTCGCCAGGCGCTAATTCAAGCGGTATCTTACCGCGCTGTTACGTACCTAATACAAAACAGTGCCTAAATTATTAAACATTTAAAAGTTCAGCTTAAATTATGTTTTACTTACATAGAATATTTGTTGCCAAAGAAGCCACACTCAAGCATCCTCTCGGAAATGGTACAAAAATCATCAAATAAAAGCTATGGAGTCAACAGCTGTGGAGTTTATGGTGGTTGGCTACCGTCCACAAATATAAATATGCACTCTGCATGGCTTTTTACAATGGCGAGTCCAAAAATTCACTTTGCTGCACAACTTCCTTTTGGTCTACATGAAATTGCAAACACTGTTAATACATCCATTTTTTCATGTGCTAAAAATCGTACTTACCTAAAGGGCTACATGTCCAAAATTATTGCTACGTGTTCCCAATTAATCAATCTTTGTATATTTATTGATTCCTGCAAAATTGGGCCATGTAATATTAAAATAAACCCATTTTTCTGCATTGTTTACATATTTTTATATGCGTTTTGGCATTTCTCTCTCGCATTTGCACCAAGATGACGTCACGCAAAAATTACGCTCAAAAATCCTCTCTCATTGGCGCAATCTTGTATTCTATCATTCTTGCTTTGCATTGAGTGCTTGCGCTCCTTTAGGGAAGCGCCCTTGACACTCATCTCTCACTTAACTACCGTTCGTATTTTGCATGTAAACAGTGATGCCAGACATTCTCTGTTAAAAATCCCACGAAAATGGGGAAAAAATCCCTCAATTACCCACAGCTTAAAAATTTATCCCACAAAATTCCCAACGAATTTAAACATATACATGTTTCAGTAGTAAAGAAGTAAAATTCATATAAATTCATATAATAATAATAATTGGCGCTTACACATATGTGCTTCTCCTCCAATTTGTGGCGTGCACACAGGGGAGGACACAAAGGGGAGCGACCTACAGTTTTACGCCGACTCCGAATGGCGAGTGTATTTTGATGAGAAGCTGTTTTTCATGGCAGGAGGTTTGCCATTGCCTGCCGGCTTCACTTTCAATTTTTGCTCACTCACTAAGGGCCTAAACAAATTTTTTGGTGACTTTAAAATTGAAGCACATTCATGTGCTATTAACCATTTCATCAGATAATTTGCTCCGCTTTTTACATGATACACCAGTTACAACTGAAAAGATTCTTTCTTACTCAGCGCTTGAATTGGTTAACGTAAGAAAATTTTCGAAATTGTCCTTATAATTTTTAACAATTATATACCATTTCACTCCACATCACATCTACAGAAAGATTAATTACGTAAGAATGTCGAATATTCTTGAATTTGGATCAATTATGCAACAATAACTGCATCAAAAGAAAATCCCTTATTTGTTTGAAATGTCCCTTTTTTCCCTTTTAATAATTTTTGTTGCAAAATATCCCTCAAATGGGGAAATTACCCACAATCTGGCATCACTGCATGTAAACAATAACTTATTTATTTTTATGCACATTGTTGTTTTATGTCTTATTGTTTATTTAGGTATTTTTCGCGATCACGGCTTGATTTTTTATACTGCTGAGGGCAGTTCGCGACAACACAAAACTCCAATAATAGTTTAGTGTGTCTGGTTAAGTATTATTAGTTACACGATAAATATGATTTTTTTATGGAGCGAATAAGGAACACGTCCGTACTCAACCGCAACTGAAATCACAGTATACCAGTAGAAAAGCATGAACGAAAGACACAAGATCACGCCTTCCCTAAAGAAACAAAAAAGTTATTTTCTAGCTGTTGAAATCTCGACGCCATCTTTGTTGTAAGAAGTAAGCAACGAAGAGAACAAAAAAAAACGCGTAATTGTTGAACGCATGAATAATCATTTTTATTATGCAAATTCTCATGTCGCTGTGTAAAATTATTCTTTACCTTATGTGTGCACACGTTGTCACAAGCGAAAATTAAGAAAATTGCAGTAAAAAGCCACCACCAAATTGTAAACAACGAACAAATGTAAACAAACGTCTAATGTCAAAGTCGCCCAACTTTTTTCCTAAATCCGATTATAACGGGCTACTAAGAAGAAGGCGTGATCTTGTATTTTTGGTTCATGAGTAGAAAAGGTTTTTGTTGTTGTGGCTGTTAATTTGGTCCCCATAAAGGACTTGAGGGTTGCGAGCAACTGTTTTGTCGCATTCAGGGTGCTGTGCAGCAAAATAATGTGGTGAAAAATTTTAACATCGGATAAATGGCGAGAGAAATATTGTTATGCGCTTTATAAGTAAACATGAACGTAATAAAATATTTTATACTGCAATACAACTAATTAGCGCTATTTTTACAACTCGAAGTGATCTTAAAAATATTTGTGATGAAATCTGTACTTTATGAGTTATATGAAAACTATGTTATATGCAAAAATATATTCCGATTTACTTCAAATAACTGGTGTAAAATGTTATTTATATGGATCAAATTTTAATAATAATATTTATTCCGATTTACTTCAAATAACTGGTGTAAAATGTTATTTATATGGATCAAATTTTAATAATAATATTTATTACCTTCATCTACATTGCTTTCATTGAATGTTTCCTCGAGTAGTTGCAGTTTTCTTCAATTGTCTCTAGCAGACTATACCCGTTAAAACTAAATAATTTCACAATTTCCACCCTATTATAGAATTATATTTTAATAAAATGGGATCAATTACTGAAGAATATAAACTCCGATCAAATTATAGTACTGAATGCTTGAGAAACAATTATTTAAATCAAATGATCAATAGTGAAGGCACTCGGAGCGTATTTTGGAACACGGACTAAACTATGCATATTAAGACTAAACAGTTTCTCATAAGGTTATGTTTTAATATAATATGATTAATTACTGAAGAATATATTAACTCCATTCAAACTATAGCATTCATTGTTTGACAAACTATTTAAATCAAATGATCAACAGTGAACGCGCTCGGAGCGAATTTTGGAACACTTCATAAAATATTTACAGAGGATGTATATTATTTGGTAGAGATCATGTACTTAACAAAGTGTGATTGAATTTGACATTGCTCTCAGAAGAACCATCCTATAAAGTCAAATTGAAAAAAATGTGTATGAATGTTGACTCGTTTGTTTATATTTTTTGACATAATAGTACCTGAAAAGAGAGCCGCACTGAGTTGTCAATAACACCTTGTTTAATACACCAATGATACAAATATTTAAAGATAAAACCGCTTGCTCAATTCGTCGGCCATCATTTATTTTTTGAAGTTTGTCTACTTTATAAAATTGAAATTTTGAGAGCAACTCAAATGCCAAATAAAAGTAAAACAAAATACAAATAGATGAAAATATTGAAATTTTATTTTATTTAAGACTGAAAATGAGAATGTATTTGTGAGATTGAAAATTTGAAAACCTTTTTTTTATGTTAGCGAACTTCAAAAATGTTCAGGCTGCCTGTCAGCGGTTTTACCTTAAAATTTTTGTATCATGAATACACCTTGGTCGAGATATCATGAAAGTTTTCCTTTATTTATTTTTACTTAAAATCTTTGAAAATTTATCTTGACTTTTTTTCTGTAGAATACGTGTTATTTTTTTACGATTTTAAAAAAAGGAGGACAGTCGGGTCTACGTAACCAGAACGACCTGAAGGTGGGTGCTTTAAGATTCATTTTGTAAATATGTGCATATAAAAACAATTGCGATGTTTTATTATATTTTAAATTATGAGTTTTATTCGTTCAATTTTTTATGTATAATAGTTTTGAGAATATTTTTGGTTCTGTTGTATTCTTTTATTGCATGCCTTAAACGTTTTTACTTTAGGTTATAATGTTGAAGAAGGCACTTTAGCTAGGTGCGATCAATTTAGCATATGTGCGTAAAAGCATGGAGTAGGTATACGGCTGGGTTGCCGCGATTCTCTACCATCTTGTCAAAGGAGAATTGGTGGCTATCACGGAATCCATCGTCAATCGATTATGGATGGCAACGGAATCTTAGTTGGGTTATCGATGGACAGCGCCACTGAAATGAAAATGTTTTTTATTATGAACTAAGTTTCAAAAAGTTCAAGGTGATACAAATTAACAAAAAAAAAAATTTAAAAAAGAAATAAAGTATCTCAATTAAAATTTCCCGGCAGCCACAAAAATGCACAAACGACAATAACGCAAAATTTGCTTTATTTCACTTTTAAATGGGAAACCAAAATCTGACTTTTGCTTTATTTCCAACAAAGGTTGGAAATAAAACAAATTTTGCCTTATTTCTCATTGCTTATTTATACTATTTGTAAAAAAAACAGTTTACTGACAGAAGGAAAAGAACTTTGTTTATTCCGAAAATACAATTAAACCAAGGCACATTGAACAGGTAATATCAGTATAGCAGCTGATTTGATTTTTTCGAATTATTTGTTCTCGAAAATGTCAAATATTTTACATTTCTTCTCACAAAAATTCTAAATTGTTAAAATCTATGTGCATGTGAAACATTTTCCATACAAAACCAGCGATTAAATAGCAGCTTTTGGAAAGCTCGCCCAACTCAGCAGCACAACCGCTGATTACTGGGCCTGGCACAGGATGATGGATCAATGCTTCGAGAAGCGAACCAATTTACTAAGAAAGAAAGTTGCAACAATTTTCATTTTTTCAATTTAAATTTTTTACCTTTTTCGTATTTCGCATGGCACGCTTTGATGAAGAAGAAAAAAATCAGAACAGTTTTTGGCACCTTCGATACCAGAAGCAACAACAAAATACAGGCAAATGTTGTTTTTGCTCAAATGCTCTAAACCTGTTTGATAGGCCCTGAATTAAACAAAAAATGTGATACAATTCATATGAAGAAAGTAATATTCACAAAATATTTTTACTTATGAAAAGTAACAAAATATAGGAAAAGCATCGTCTTTGAAAACTGCTCCGCATATTGGACATAGCGCTTTTGTATGAATGTTTTCTGCATGCTTTTTAATATGTTATTATTGCGAAGGGAGGGGTGGGGCGGGGGACGCAAGGGCGACGTCGAACGCGGTGCGGGGTGGTGCAGGGCGGCGCGCGAACGCGGACCGCCGCGACGCCGGGCACTTTCAAATTTGTATACTTACAAATCCGTCCATTTAATTTGTTCATGTACTACTTTTTTCAAATGTAACTGGGTGACTACCTACATATGTATGTGCACTATTTTGCTTTATTACTCAAATTGTTAAGTTTAAAAGTTGGTCTTATTGCTCAACGAGAAATGAAATAAAGCAAATTTGTGTTATTTCACATTCGATTGGGAAATAACACAAATTTGCGTTATTGCCGTTTGTGTTATTCCACAAACCAAACTCCAAAAACTTTACAACCTCTATGTGCCACCAGCCCTTAGTGTTTTTGCCAATGACATGGCCATGGAATGCCCAGGAGATGGCGTTTGTTCAGCTATCCAAATCATTGCACCGACGGCGGTAGGCAGTACTGCTGGTACATATTTACCACAGCAGTGGCTGCGGCATTTTGTTCTGCAACAATTGCCTGCAATGATGATATGTCCTATAATGTCGACGAACAAAGATATAAAATTGAAAATGACTAACCTTATTCCCGGCTGATTTGGGAGACCACTCTCGGTCACGACCAGAACATATTTACCAAGCGGAAAAATCGCAGGGCTTGCAGTAGTTCTCCTTGCAATCACCGTTGATGATGCTGTGCTTGTAATTAATAGTCTGAAAAGAAAGCAAATTGCATTAATCAAATGTAAAACACATCAAACCAATAAATTTAAATAATTTGTTTACCATTTCACAAACTGAATTACCAAGAAATAGAAACTCACCGCGATGCGATACAGAAATAAAAACCAACAGGGCTGCATTTTCTTGGTAACCAACACAAGCGCTCAGAGCAATCTGATCCGCAATATTATTTTCTGAAAAATAAGCGTTGAAAAGAGTTTTTAAACATGATCATCACATTATCGAATTAGCGCACACTATTGTGTTTATTTTTACTAGAATATAATTGTGTTATCTCTGACTTTTTTTCAATGTTTCCTAATATTCGTTCTTTTGGTATGCAAAAGCAACCATGCGCTCAATTTATTGTGGGGAAATTTGGTCCCCATAAAGGACCACGAAACAGCTACAAAAACAAAAACCTTTTCTACTGGTATACTGTGACTGAAATGAAGTGTCAAGAAAATTTATTGTGAATTTGGTGTTAGTCGAAGAGCTGAAGGTGCTGCCGTTTCAAAATTTCTATTGCGTGCTTGAAGGACAATCTGCACTTACATGAGGCGATTTTCCTAGAGATTCGACATCGCCTGAGAATACGCCTGCGAAGTTGCTTAAAAAACAGTATTTCTACAGACAAGAATACTTAAGAACTTATTGCAAAAATTAGAAATAAGATTTTTTTATGTACCTTCTAAGGCAATAAAAATGAAAACCTTAGAAGGCAAATATCTCGAACAAATGGCGCGATAGAAGAAAACTAAGAATGCAGTTTATCTACATTTGAATACTACTTCATGGTCTGATGTATCCTTTTTGGCACATTCTTACGTTACTACAAATATTCTACCACATATTTTTAGAGATCTACCACTATTTTTATTAAAAATCTATCTCTAATTTGGTTTCTGAAGGGACAACACTGCTGCAAACATAAAAAGTATATTAAGAGTGTGAATATTATGAGGGAGAGGGTAAATATAAAAAATATGTTGTTGTGTCCTTTTCCACATCGCGAAGTTAGCTGAGAATTCACCCACAATATCATTCGGCCATTGTTTCTCAAAAGCTTGCATCGTTTCAAGCATTTTTATACCTTTCATGAGCATGAAATGGTATTATAACTGTGGTCCGATGTTTGTAAGTACCAGAATAAAAAGAGATCGACCCATTAAAATGTATACTTATATGATCAGAACGTCGAGCTGAGTCGATTTAGCCATGTCCGTCTGTCCGTCTGTCCCTCTGTTTGTATGCAATCTAGTCTCTTAGTTTTCGAGATATCCGGATAAAATTTGGTAGGTGGGTGTATTTTCATAATGTATTAATCATTTGTCGGGTCCGGAAGATTCGGACCACTATAACATATATACAACTGATTGCTCAGATATGAGATTTTTCGTTATAACTTCTCCATTTATGCGGCTAGGAAAATGAAATTTTGCAGTACTTGCACCCAGTATCAACAGAATACGTACGTACAAAGATCGGGTAACTATAACCTATAGCTCCCATACAACTGATTGTTCAGATATGAGATTTTTCGCTATATCTCCTCCATTTATATAGCTAGGACCATGAAATTTTGCGCTGTTTCCACACATTATCAATATAAGACTTACAGTGAAAATAGCAAAGATCAGGTAACTATAACCTGCAGCCCCCATACAACTGATTGTTCAGATATGAGGTCTTTTATCATAACTCCTCCATTTATGCAACTAGGAACATGAAATTTCGCACCATCTCCACTCATTATTAACAGAATACTTACAGTGAAAATAACAAGGATCGGGTGACTATAACATATATGTATCTTCCATACATCTGATTGTTCAGATATGGGATTTTACTGTAAAACTCCTTTATTTGAACAGCTAAAACCGATAAATTTCGTAAGATATTTTATAAATAATAATACAAAGTCTACTGAGAAAATCGTCAAAATCTATGCTGTATAAGCTTTATCTCCTATACCACTGATTGTTCAGATACCAGTTTTTGCGATATATCTCCTTTATGTAGGAAACTAAACCCAATAAATTGTGTTACCGGTTTACATACCGATCACATAGCAGTGAAAATCACTTAGATTTGTGCTAATAAAAGGTATATCTTCCATACCTCTGATTGTTTAGATGCGATTTTTTATATAAGTATGTAACTCCTCTATCGATGTATGCAGATGTATTCAAAAGCAGTAATCTGTCAAAGTAAAATTTGCAGATGTTCATGAAAGGTATGAAGCCTTCGGCATAGCCGAAGACAGCGCTGCTCTTACTTGTTTTAAGGCCTGCTCAAACAGGCGCGGTGCGGCACGGTGCGGTATAATCCCGTACGATATGCGGATCCAAATACCATGGCGGTATATGGGAGCACTCAAACAGACGCGGTATTGGAAGTGCGGTACACCGCGGTACAGAACTCTACCGCAGCATGCAGCGTTCACCGCGCGGTATGCGAAGATATATCGTAAGCAGAGTTACAATTTAGAGCTAGAGTTCTACCACATATTTTATCTACAAAAGCGCTATAGATTATAAATTCTACCTTTTTCATGATAAAAAACGTGAGTTTAAAAGTGCTCGTAATACATACGTGATATTCTTTGGTTTTGTTTCTCACAAAGTAAATAAAATAAAGTTGAACTTTTTCGTTTGTTTGAAAAATGTTTTTCAAATCTGGCAATGGAAAATTCACCACCTTCTTTTCTTCTCAAATTTATTTCGTGAACCCATCTTCTTTTTTTAAACATATACATAAATTAAGAACTTTGCAGGATAAAACAAAGATGTAGGCATATTCATACATTTTGTTTTCTTCATCGAGAAGTGCTGCTAATAGCAATAATTCGTCCTCAGAGCTTTAGCTGTCCATCGCGAAAATCAGATTTATAATATATGTATAAATTTAGAAGGAGGAATGCGTAGAGTGCCGTTAATTTGAGCTCGTCACATGGCAACAATGTTTCTTGCTAAACCGCACTATACCGCACCGCGCCTGTTTGAGTGCCTTTGCGTATGTCGTTACCGCGTATCGTACGGGATTATACCGCGCTGTACCGCACCGCGCCTGTTTGAGCAGGCCTTTAAATAATATTGAAGTTGTGAGTTTGACTAATAATAAAATAGATATAGCTTTATTAATAAAAACAATAACCACATTTATTTAAAACAACAAAAGTAAATTTTGTGTTAAAAGTAAAAAAAAAGATCCATTCCGTATACGCCTCGCAGACGTAGATTATACTTTTAGGGTTAACCCTTTCAGTACAAAAATTCAACCACTGGTTCTAAAAAATTTTAAATAGGTATACCGGTTAATTTTGGATCGTTCATTTTAAAAATCACATAAAAAAATGTGTAATGCTTTGAGGTTTGCAGTCCTTCAGGGTCCTTTTTAATGGTCAGTGATATCCTAGGTGTTTAAAAAAGAAAGGGATCTCAGCTATTTTTATTTTTTGCTTTCATGAAATATATTTTAAAACTATGAATAATACCTAATAACTTTTCCGAATCTCAATTCCACGGAAATATGGTTAGTATTTTTCAATAGATTATATTACTCACTATCGAGTTTTCTGCCGCTTTTTACTTTTTTGACAAACACGGTCAACTGCAATTGCAGCTTGCACTTTAGTTTGATATATAGCTCAATTCTGTGGTTGCTACAGATCGGCCTAACTAAGTGGTATGACTGAGCACTTATATATAGATACTAAAGGCCTGAACTGCAAAACATAGCGACATGTAACACATCAAGCAAGTTTATATCATGTCGCTTATGCCTGATTGAAAGTGATATATGAAGACATTGCCGAATAAATTCAAATGAAATCATGCATCAAATTTATGCATGTCAACAAAAGGAACACATGCGACATATGCAGCATTATTATTTACATTGTATATACGGGAAGGGATTTTCCGAATTTTGTAAGCTCCTACTATAGTAAAATTTATTAAACAATTATGTAATTAAAAATCTATATACCAACAGTGGGCAAACGTGGCTCTTTAAGCCAAATGCGGCTGTTTGCTTAGCAAAGTGCGGCTCTTTTTACTTTCTCCTTGCTTAGAACATTTTTGCTCTTTTTACTTTTTAAAATACATATTTCATACATATTACACATATACATACAAATTTTACATACATAATTTTACGCAAATCCCTAAATTGAATTTGATGGTTTGGAAGTTGAAATAGTAAAATACGACTAATTAAACTTGTAAGAAATAAGTAATTATTCGTTTAGTCAGTAAACTGTGTCAGGATAAGAATTCAGGATTTGTTTTCTTACGTTTTCAATTTTATACTTTTTACAGGTCTATTCTGCGCTGGTAACATAAATTTTATAACCGGTAATTAAAGTGTCTGTCAATTTTTAAACCTTTTTCGCATTCTGTGCTCTTTTGTAACCGGTAAATTTGGTTACCATCTCAGAAGCTGGTAACAAAATATTGCCCCGCGAAATATGCAATACAGGAATTTCCACAAATCTTCATAGCTGAGTTTCTGAATACTTTCACTGCATTACCAACGCACCTAGAATCGCGGTGACAAGAAGTGGTAACATTTTTTGGTAATAAAATTTTCCGGTCACAAAATCTTCGGTAAAGTGCAGAATAGACCTGTTAATGTAAACAAAATTTCTATCAGCTGTTCGTCTAGTTTGTAAGTTTCTGCAAATTTTCTGTTCGCGTACTATTTTGGATACTTTTCTCTTGTGAGAGAACAGATGATATTTCGTCGGAATTTCGCCGTTGGACATTTTTTACTGGAGATTTTAAACGAACGTACCTATTGACTATCCAACATTTAACAGAATTGTTACGAACGGCTTTAACTGACCTAAAACCAAAGCCAAAGGAATCTTTTGAATTTTCTTTTATATCTATCTTACGTACAATAGAATAATAATAAAATTAATGTTTTTCATTTCTAATAATAATTTTATTTAAAAATAAAGTTTTTGTTTTTTTTATTCTTTTTTGTGGCTCTTTGCAGCATTTAGAACTCTTAGATATGGCTCTTTTCGGCCTCGGCCTTGCCCACCCTGCTATATACATTTTCATACAAGGCAGGATTAAACAGTATTAAAAATATGCTGCAGAAACACAACAGCAAACAACAGCTGAGCTAAGAAGCAATTACATGCTATAACAGTATGTTTGAGATGGAATGGCATAGCAATG